AAAAAACCTTCATGCTTGCAGCATATCATAAAACAACTTGAAAGATAAACTCCCTCATTAAAACTGTGTTACAAAAATGTTTTGACCCACTGCCTAAACGTTGGCCAGGCGAGCCTTTGAAGATGGGGACAAAAATTTAAAAGATCATGAGGGTTGTAAAATTGGTCTGAGGATAATACTAGGACGTTTAGTAGGAACAAATTTAGGGTTTAAGAATCTGTCGCTTGGCCTTGATGCACACAGTTTTCGAAAACAGAAGGGCCTGATTTTACGTTTCGGTGTTTGTGGTATAGTGCAGATAGTAGTTTTCTGTGAAGTACTTCACCTGTGCAAATAGCAGAGTGACATTCTAAAAGATGGTGGGACTTGAATCTGACGAAATAAGATTGGCCCGTAAAGCTAAAACGCTTAATGCATCTGACCTGGATCTTTTACTGAAATCATCAGATCTTTCCAGTTTTAACATATTTTTATAATTCAGAAGGAAGTTGATAATTATGTCACTACATCTTTTGTTCACTTTCCAAAAAATCATTTATGTTCTTATCAAAATCTGGCCAGAATTTCTTTTTTACTGTACACAAGAGCAAGGAGCTCTCTCATCAGCCCTTCAGCACTGTCATTTTTACAAGTAACAGAGCAGGTTAAGAATGGCTGGGTTCATGACAGAAGGACTCACACAAGGGGGATGGTGAGAAGATGCATTTTTTCTTTTCTTTCCTCCTAAGTCTGTTAGATGCCTACAAAGAGAAGGCAGATACTGCCAGATGACAGTTTCTTAGACAGCTCAATATGTATATATTTAATATGTTAATTTTAAAAGGCATTGCATTAAACAGCTTTTGCCTGAAATGCTGAAGATTTGCCATCAGAGTTTATAATCTCACTCCCTGACATTTTGTGGTTGGCCCCACCTTCCGTGGCAGCCATTTTGTCATCTCCTGTGGCACGACCCTGTGTCAGAATTCTAAAGGTGCTGTAGGCTGAAAAAGCCTTAGGCCCCCCTGAACAAGAACCTGAAACAAAACTGTATGTTCAGTTTCAATAAACTGTAATTAACGGGGCATATGATAGCAGTCTTCCTATTATCTGAAGAACTGTTAGAAGATGGGCACAGGCTGGTTCTCTGTTGCTCCTGAATACAAATAAGGAGTTCCAATGACAGGAAAACCAGCTTAAATTTAAATATTAGGAAGAGTGCTCTTCTAATGCTAAGAATAAGATCTGTTCAACTGTAGAACAAAGTGCATCAGGGGTTGATGAGCTCCTTGCTGGGAGAGATGTTCAGGCAGAGGCTGGATGGCGATCTGGAAGGGTGCTAACTAGAGATATCCCAGTACCAGTGCAAAGGTTGGACTTTTTTTCGCATGGAAGCCCTTCCAACTCGGCAATTCTATTAACACACCAAAGGTCAGTTTCATCCTACAACACGAGCTGAAGTCTGGTTACCTGAGCAAGGCTCAGATCTCTAGGGGAGGTGGGATTTCAAGCTACCCCGTCCAAAGCAGCGGGAGGGGATGCTCAGACGCAAAGGTCTCGTGGCTTCAGCAAATCGAATGGTTATATTCGATTCGTGGGAATCTTCTGGGAGGCGAGCGAAAAGCTGCCCTCTCTCCAGTGGCGAGGGAGGGAAACCGATCCCCGGGTTGAAGGGCGAGGGTCCCGGGGGCCGCTCCGTCGAGCTGCTGCCTGTGCAGAGCCGCCAAGCCCGGTGCACGGAGCAGCCCTCCAGGCGCCCGAAGCACGGCCTGGCCCCGTCGGTCCTTTGCACGCCGAGCCGCCGGGCAGCGGGGCGGGCGAAGGCCCGCAGGCGGCAGGGGGGGGCCCTCCCGGGGGGGGGGGC